AATCCTCACCAGCAATACATTCGACTTTTTGGTAGCCAAGGGCCTTATGAATCTCCACAGAAATTTCCCCATATCATCTTATGGGATGAGGAGGAATTAAGTGTGTGATATAGCATAGCATTGTATAATAATGAGTGGTGTGAAAAACTATACATTTTAATGACAAGGGATAATGATTGGTGTGTGATTACAAAAACTCATTAGTTGTATGACTGGTGTGAGACCTCCAATCACACCATTTGATGAATACTAGTGGTTTAAGATTGACTTAGGGCATTTTAGTTTCAACCAATGCAAGACAATCTACCACCAAATCAGATTGCAATAACTTATGATACAAACTGAACTGTTATCACTGAAGGTGAATTTTAACACAAAAAAGACCCTTCTCAAAAAAACACACAATGTCTAAATGACCAAAAGATATTGTAATGAATAAATATTCAAAGGACTGAGGATATAAATATTCAAAAGCTCTGTTTTTAAAGTTAGAATGGGTCTCGGCCACTAGAAATTAAATTTTCTGATAGCATAGCTGAATTCAATCAAATCTACATGGTGTGCATCAGACATAGAATGGCTTCTGGGTATATCACATTAGACAGAATAAATCAGTACACATTCTAGTTCTAAATGTTCTGGAACTTTCGATCTAATGTTAGTAGGTAGTATGAAATTTCTGTCCTTGTAAGGTAAGAAACTCATTAGCAACAGGTAAAGAAAACTAAAACTAGTTTTACCCCATGACCACTTTCCTATAAAAATACATTTTAAACATTTACATATTATGCTGCTAATGTGCACTTTTTAAATTTCATTTTTGCCATAGTTTCAAATACACAATTGGTTTTGTTTCAGAACGATTTTCAACTTACTTGTGTCTTCCTGCACATCATGGAACCGTAAGAAATGCAATAGTGATATGTTGTATATCGCTCATATTAAAATAGCATTAACAATATGTATGTGCATACACAGATATCAGACTGAGACAAGAATAAACTACATTCTGAAAACCTGAATGTATTTAACCTGAATGAATAAAATAATATTCAGAAAACCTTCAGAAGGATTTCTCTATGCACTGTTATTAACGCCAAATCCCAAGCAAAAGCAACGTTTGTGTTAAAAAGCTTACCTGTCTTCTGACTCCTGACCATATGCTAATCTTTAGACCTTCTGAATATTGCTATTATTCACTTTCTAATAGCTCATTGATATGGGTAGAATTTATTATTTATCAAGGGAGGTAATATATTATCAACAAAATTAAGATAATTATCAGTCCTGTTTCAGAACATTATGGGTCATGCTGAGGAATCCACAATACAAGATCTACAATATGATTGATGGTTTAATAGCAATAAAAACACAACTATACAGGAAGCTGTATTTGTTCTAATTAGTATTGTTACACAGCCACATGGTAAAAAACTGTGGTCAGTGGACCAGTCAGCACAAATACCTAAAACAGAAGCTCAATCTTTACACTGTAAAATATTGTAGAACATTCATGAAGTACCTGCAATGTGATTTGTTGAAAAACATCAAATATGATATTTGCAAAACATTCATATATATGAGCTTAAAAATGAAAGATATTGTATAAAACATACATTGTGAGATTTTCAAGAGGACGTTTCAATTTGATAGATGTTGAGAAAAGGAGAATTCCTAGAACCATTCATACTGCACAGTATAAATATCTACAGACAACCAACTTCATTTTTTTCAGAAAAAAAAACACAATAGCAAGAGTCTCTTAAAGAGACTGATGCTCCACTGTAAATAATTTCTAGTAATTCAAAAATAGACCATTTCTTGGTTTTGAATTTCTGTGCTGAATCCACCAGTTATTTTTCAGTGAAAATAAGATTTGCATGTGTTGCAGCCATATTTGATGTAGATCAGCAGCCATTTAATTTAGGACCAACTAGATATCATGTAATGTCTTTAAATAAAAGCCCTATGTTGATAATTGTAACAATAAATATAATCTAAAGATTGACATAGTTGTGACCATACAGGGTGTCAAATCAGCAATATTTTCATTTAGGTTGAAGAAGACCATGAATGAATATGTCTGAAGCTGAATGGCAAAAAAGAAATGTCTGTGCTAAATGAGAGATGGACATGTCTCCTGTAAGCTTTTCTGCACTATGTCAATAGAGATAAGAGATTGTACAATAACTGTAACGGACTATAATCCCTTAATCTCTTCTAGGCTAAAAACAATGGACATAAGCTCTTCATAGATAAAAGCAATACTAATAAAAGAATAAAAATGGAGGTACATACCATAAGCTCTGAGCAATGGATACAATACTATACAATAATTAGAATGGACAATCAAACTCTTCTAGGCTGTAAACAATGAATGTGGTTGTTGTTATAGCATTTAATTCCTTATTTCAGTACAAGATATGCTATACATGGCAGCCAGTATAAACCGTGGAGGAAGAACCTGGGAAAACCCCATAAAAAACACCAACCCACTAGAAGCTACAGTCAAGCTTTCTTATATTTCCACATTAGAAGCAATGGAGATAAAAGACTGTATTATAATTGTAATGGACAACCATCCCATAGGCGTTTTGAGTTATAAATAGCAGCAATAGAATACTGTAAATCTTAGACATGTATAGCATTATCTTTTCAATTACAGCTATGTTCTGCAGTTTATGTTTTAATCAGCATGTAATGTTACTGCGATGGAATGATTCTTGCTGTATAAAACACAATAAAATCAATACTTAAACAAATTCATTTATTTCTCAAACATTAATAAGAAAGCTTTATTGTGGCATAGGATACAGTTCTAAAGATATCTAATTTAAATGTTTTCCCTGACAGAAAATGTATTACATTTACTGTAAGATTTCAAGCAAAATAAATATTATAATGGTAAATCTTTTCTGCGACAGTTTTTTGTCAATGTGTTTCAGCCTAAACATTTTCTCTTACTTTATGAAGTTCCATCATTTGGATGTCTCAAAATTTTAATAAAATAATTTTTGTTTGAATATTGCTAATGATATTCTCCAAACATGACTACCACTGAGAAACTGACCATTTTATTTTTAGAGTGGGGCACAAGCATTTGCATAAAAAATCCTAAGCTCATCCCCTCTCCTACATTAGATGGTTGATGCCTAATTTCAGTACACATGGTTAATAGGGAAAGGGAATTTGGAAAATTAACCATCTTTTGTTCATACAAGAAAGGAAACATTCTTATTGTACAAAGAACACAAACTAATGTAAGCTGGAGATTGTATGATAACAAAATGGGTTTCCCTGAAAATGCTTACTCAGTCACATAAACATTAGGAAATACTTTTGCTACATTCAGGATTTAAGCCCTAACATAGACATTTTAATATCTAAATTTTTTCATAAAGTGAAGTAACTCTGCAGATTATCTCTCCTTATCGCACTACATGGCACTCTGCATAATGAAAATGCTTCGTTTTAACACAAGCAATGTCTGAAATAGTATACTCACATTGTAGGGATGGTTGTGAGGGATTTATGGTAATGTGATTGGACAAGTGTTTAAAAAGAAACAGAACTGCACTGTGAAAGAATCTTTCTCTTTAATATCCATTACACATCGCATACATGTTAGAATAGATAAGAGGAAATGCTGAGCATCCCACCAATACCATAACAAACCGTTTAGGGTCAAGAGAAATATATTCTTAATGGTAAAACTCTGACAATAGTTGAACAACAGAATTTAAGGTATATACATCTGCAAGGAACTATCATATGGACGCCCACACTTGATAAATATTACAAAAGACGGTTTTTCTTGGGGGAATTCTGCAAATGTTGAGAGGTCCTATCCAAGGATGTGATTGTGTTAAGAGTAAAGTGGACTGATGACTGGAAAGCAACCGCAAGACCAATTAATTTATCCCCGTGTTTAGTGATTTCAAGTAGAAATAGGTGAAAGTGGACATAATGTGACCCAACCGATTACATTGTATTGATGTTGCATTGAAATGCAAGGCATGCATAAATATTTCACATTTCATGAGCCAAAATCATCATGAGACATCTGTTCTTGTAAGAGATCAGTGTACTGTCTGGATGACTCTAGTCAGAACAATAATATTTGTAGGTTTCTGCCTAATTAATGCTTGGTTTTGTGTGAGAAGCCTCTGGTGTTTGCACCAAATATATTTTGGCTGGATGCTTTCTGTAATGTTTGAAAACTCATCCCATACCATATCTACTGCATCAGAACAGCTGGATAAAACTAAGCAACCCAATTCCCATATAAGCTGTCATGTTCATTTTACATATTTTAATGTAGCCTGAAGAAAAATGTTAAATATTAAAGCACCATATACATGCTTTTATATGTACCTTAAAAAGTCATTCCAAATCTTGATATAAACGTGCTCGCCAAGTTTTGTTGAAAGTAGATGGGACATTCTTTTTCATAAGCAACACATTCAGCCAATCAGATGGGAAATGTTTCTGCATAGTAGTACAGTAGAATTTGTCTTAACAGACCACACATTCTGCTCCATAAATGATCTCTCAGGGAAAGCAGTCTCTCATGACAGGTCATAAGTCTATCTAATCAATAAATATGTGCAAGGAGAATCAGTACTCTCATCGTGACAGATGGATGTTCATAGCAGTAGTCTCCCAAGACAGTTTTTACTATATACTCAGCCAGTAATGAAGTCTTTGAGAAGTAAGATATTCAGCCAAGAAGATGGTAAATGCAGCTTCTGAGAAGTATGTGTGTGTGATTTAGATTTTTAACGTAGCTTTAACAATGTCTCAGTCAAATTACTATGATGTCTGCAGTGTGACAGTTTATAGTGATGCCTAGCACTGGGACATCATACTGCAGACATGTTGTCCGATGTCCCACCCAGTCACATTATCCTAACACCAGGCTGACCAGTCCTAACAGTAACATCTAAATGCTGAGTAAAAAACGAGACAGCTTTTAGTACCATCTTTTTATGTATTTAGTA